GGCTCAAAGTCACAAACCACGAGATCATGACCTGAGCCAAAGTTGGACTGAACCATCCAGGAGCCTCTTTTAGAGTTCTTTAAGTCATTCTGCTATATTCTTGTTTAAATCAAGGAAAAATTTATGTACAAAATTTAAGTGCATAAATTATGAACATATCTATGTAATTAACACGCAAGATACAAAACATTTCCATCACTTCCAGAAATTCCCTTAACTTTTTTCAGTGAATCTCACCTCCTACAGGCACCCATTGTTCAGATTTTAATCATCATAGGTTAATTTTGCCAATTTTGAACTTCATATAAATGGAATCATATAGTATGGTTTTTTTGAGATTTATTGTTGTTTGTATTAGTAGTCCATTTTTTCTTGTTGTATGATATTCCATTGTATGACTATGCCATTATTTATTTATTCATTTCTATTTTGGATGCAAATTTGGACTGTTTCTAGTATAGGGCTATAATAAGTAATACTGTTATGACTATTCCACATTTGGTGGGCATAAGCACTAATTTATCCGAGTTATACACATGTGGGTTGGCATGCTGGGTCATAGGGATATTAAGTCTTATGTTAGTTTCATTAAGTTTCATGGACGCTAGCCAGTAGTTTTCAGAGGAGTTGTAATTATTTATATTCCTACCAGCAATGTCTGATACTTCCAGTTGCTCCACATAATAAAAAACACTTAATATTTTCAATCCTTTTAACTTTGGTTATTATGGTGAGGATGTAAATGTATCTTACTGTGATTTTAATGTGCAATCCTTTGATAAGCAATGATATTGAGTATACTTGTATGTATTTATTACCAATTTGTGTACTTTTTTTTTTTCTTTTTTTTTTTTAATTTTTTTTTTCAACGTTTTTATTTATTTATGGGACAGACAGAGACAGAGCATGAACGGGGGAGGAGCAGAGACAGAGGGAGACACAGAATCGGAAACAGGCTCCAGGCTCCGAGCCATCAGCCCAGAGCCCGACGCGGGGCTCGAACTCACGGACCGCGAGATCGTGACCTGGCTGAAGTCGGACGCTTAACCGACTGCGCCACCCAGGCGCCCCCCAATTTGTGTACTTTTTAACGAGGTGGCTGATCAAATTAGGCTGATTTTTTTTATTACTGATTTGTAGGAGTTTATGCAATTTGTGAACAAGCGCTTGGACAGATATTTGTAGTACAAATATTTTCTCTCACTCTATGGCTTGCCTTAATGGTATTTTTGGAAGAGAAGTGTTAAAATTCGTTCTTGTCCACTTTACTACTTTTTTTTTCGTTTTTAGGCAGTGCTTTATGTGTCTTTTCTAAGAAATATTTGGCTACCCCTAAGATTAGAGAGATATTCTCCTGAGCTTTCCTCTAGAAACTTCATAGGTTTAGGTTTTGTGTTAAGGCTGGAGTCAATCTTGAATTAATATTTATATATGGTATACATAAGGGATAAAATTCCTTTTCTCCCATATATTTAATAGTATCAGTCTATTGCCATTTATAAACTTTCTTTTCACTGTTTAACTATCTTATTGCTTTTGTAGAAAATCAAATGATCGTATAAGTATGGGACTGTTTCTGGAATCACTATTCTATTTTATTGATCTATTTGCCTGACTCTATGTCAATAACACACTGCCTTGATGACTTTAACTTTCTACTAAGTCATGTGATAAGAAGGTGTAAATTTTCCAACTTTCTTAATCTTTTTCAAAATTGTTTTGATTATATCTAGATTCTTACATTTCCATGTCAATTTTAGGATCAGCTTTTCTTTCAACTACTACAAAGAAATCTGTTAACAGTTTTTGATAAGGATTATGCTAGGTATATTAATCAATTTTTTGAATTGACATCTTTTAAAAAAAATTTTAATGTTTATTTATTTTGAGAGAGAGAGGGGACAGAGAGGCAGAGAGAGGGGGACAGAAGATCTGAAGCAGGTTCTATGCTGACAGCAGACAGACCAATGTGGGGCCCAAACTCACAAACCATGAGATCATGACCTGAGCTGAAGTCAGACACTTAGCCAACTGAGGCACCCAGGTGCCCCTCGTACAATTGACATCTTAACAATATTAAATCTTTTAATCCATAACGTGGTATATCTCTCAATCTACATAGACAGATCTTTAAAAATTTCTCAATATTCTGTGGTTTTCAGTGTTCAGGCATTATATGCATTTAATTAAATGTATTCCCAAATTTTTTTTATGCTTTTATAAGTCATATTGTATTTAAATTTTTATTTTCAAGTTGTTTGTTGATAGTATACAGAACTACAATTGATCCTACAGCCCTGTTAAACTCATTTATCAGTTCCAGTAGCTTTTTATAGATTCCTTAAATTTCTATGTAGAAGCTCATATTTGTGCAAATAAAGACAGTTCTTTTTATTTTTATCCAATCTATTCTTTATTTTCTTTTACATATCGTAATGGCTAGAGCTTCAAATGCAAAGTTGAAAGGAAGTGGTAAGAGCAGATACCTGGAACTCAGCATGAAAGTGTTCAGTATTTCCCCAGGAAATATTATGTAAGCTATAGACACCTTTTACCACAATGGGAGATGTCCCCTACTTCTAGTTTGCAGAAAGTTTTGTAATTAGTGTCTTTTGAACTTTGTCAAATACTTTTTCTGCGTCTATTGAGATAATAGTAGGATTTTTTTTCTTTTAGTATAGTAATTATTTTAAATGATTTTTTACTTAAATCAACTTACGTCATAATATGCACTCTTTCACTATATTGCTAGATTGGATTTGCTAATATTTAAAGAAATTTTCCACCTAGGTTCATGATAGATATGGGTGTATAATATCCTTTTCTTGCAAAATCTTTGTCAGCTTTTGTCAGGGTTATACTGACAATTTTCCCTCTCGCTCTGTGTTATGAAATAATCTGTGTGAGACTGGCATTATTTCTTTTTGAAAAGTTTGAGAGAACTCACCATCTCTCACTTGAATTGAGAACTGAAAGAAGAATTAAGAATTGAAACCACCTAAGCCTGAATTTTTCTTCATGGAAAGAGTTTAAAATACAAATTCAGTGTTTAAAAATAGGTATATGGATATACAAATTACAATTTTTCTTATGTTTGTTTTGGTATTTTATATCTTTCAAGAATTTGACAATTTCTCCTAAGTTGCCAAATGTGTTAAAACCTAAATTATGCCCAAAATTCCTTGCCCTTTTGTTATATGTAGAGTCCATAATGACAACTCCTCTTTTACTTATGATTTGTGTTTTTTTCTCTTTTTCTTTTTTAAAAACATTTTTTTAGTTTATTTATTTATTTTCAGAGAGAAAGCAAGTGGGAGAGGGGCAGAGAGAAAGAATCCCAAGCAGACTCCCGCTGTCAGCTCAGATCCCGATGCAGGGCTTGAACTCACAAACCATGAGATCATGACTTGAGCTGAAACCAAGAGTCAGACGCTTAACCAACTGAGCTACCAGGCACCCATGTTTTTTTTCTCTTTTTAAACTTGCTAACAATCTTATTATTTTTTCTGAGAACAAACTGCTTTCCTTGTTAATTTTTGCTGTTGTTTTTGTTCTGTTTCATTAATTTCTGCTTTTATATTTTTACTTCCTTCCATCAACTTATTTTGGTTTTATTTCCCTAACTTCTTCAAATCATTGATACAAGTACTGTTATTCTTTTCTAATATGAGCATTTAGAGCTATACAATTTCCTCTAAGCATTGCTTTAGCTGCATTCCACAGAACTTCGCATATTGTGGTTTAATGATCATTTAAAATACTTAAAAATTTTGTCTTAACTTGAGCAAAGTCATTTTATCTCTTCATGTTTCTGTTCCTTCATTTATAATATGAGAAAATTGTTGTTAAAGATCTCTAAGTTCTCTTTAGATTTACCATTTTCTGACTAGTGTTTGGTTGAATACATGAAATTGTAATTTTTAATTGGCCATAACACACAGTTCTAGACCTGGATAAGTTTTAACATGTGTGTGTGTGTGTGTGTGTGTGTGTGTGTGTGTGTGTGTGTGTGTTTACCACAAAATGTATTAAAAATATTTTTAAGACTATTTTTAGTATGAAAATACTTAAATTTGGAAGATGTTACTGAGTAACTTTCTCTAGGACCATGCTATGCTATTTCAAAGTGAAACCGTATAGCATATTCATTGACAATGGGAAACAGAAAACAGAGTCATCCAAATGTAGTAATGTACTTGGTCTTTATGTCTTCAGAATAGGTATAATGTCAATTGGCCCTTTCTTACTGTATTCTTTATAATTAAAACTGTAACTTCCTTGAGTTATTTGAATCATTGTAACAAATTGTCAGACCTGAGGAGGGTCATGGGAATCCTGAATTTATAACCAGTGGTCAGAAGGGCTGGTGTCCTGGGGCCCCAGTTGATGTTGGCATCTGAACTAGAGCCACTCTTATGGAAGACTGAGCCTTCACCTTGTGGGGTCTGATGCTAACTCTCGGCAGTTAACATCACGATTGTATTGTGGTACCTCAGGTCGGAGTGGACTATTTTTAAAAAAGTATACTTGTGGTAGAGACCACTGGCCATTCCCCATGGCTAGGCTTGTTTTTTCATATAATAATCCACTTTTTACAAAGCATACATCCATCTAACGCAAAATTGTATTTCTCAGTCTTCCTTGCAACTATGCATATATGACTAAGTTATAACCAACAAGATGGATGCAGCAGTGCTGTATATTCTCCCCTTTCCCATTTTATGATGAAAGATATTTGATGTTTCTACTCTAACATTTTACCTCTTAACAGAAGACAACAATACTAATTTGTTTGTTTCTTTCTTTCCTAAGAGTGGCATCTGAGATCCAAGACTTGACTCTCTTTAAAATATATAGTATACTACGTAGGATTAGGAAATACATTTATCTGAAAGATAAATAGTAAGTCACAAGCCCTGAATTCGGAACAAAAAAAGGTGCATGTCAATATGCGTAGTTACTATTTCCAAAAACATGTGCACATAGTGTGAAAGAGGCACCTGTAGGAAAAACTCCTCCATCAGGGCCATGGTCCACCGGTGGTGCAGCTGCCAGGATTTGGCTGGGTGGCTGATGTCTGCTGCATGGAGAATCAGGGACATCGTTTTGGCTTTGTCAATCCTGTCAAATCAAGGACATGTTCAAATTATTAGGGCAAAGTAACCAGTTATAGTCTTTTTAAAAAAAATATTTACTTTTTATTTTTTGAAAAAATTTTCAATATTTATTTATTTGAGAGAGAGAGAGGGAGAGAGAGAGAGACAGAGAGAGAGAGAGAGAGAGTATACACACAAGGGAGGGGCAGAGAGAGAGGGAAACACAGAATCTGAAACAGGCTCCAGGCTCTGAGCTGTCAGAACAGACCCCAACGCAAGGCTTGAACTTTGGAACGGC